AAAACAAAATATTTAAAAATAGATTTTTCAACACTATAAACGGACATAAAAAATATATATATATAGTAATATATATATATAATATAATATATATATATATATATATATAAGTATTTATTTAAAGAGATAATTCTCAAATGTTCTGTTGCAAAAGAGAGAGAGGAGTTCCAGCAGTTGTTCCAGCTGTGTAAACATACTGCGGTATATAAAAAATCATAACATACAGGAAATTAAAACTGGTATACCACATGTAAGTCACATTTTTACATATATTACTGCAAGTTCACTTGGCTTCTTCCAGCCTGGTTGTCAACATGTCTTTTTTTTTTTATCTCACTATGGATTCTCCATTGAGTGTTTTCTTAACCACATGACATGTTCTATTAAGGCCAAGAAAAAGTAGCTATGAATAAAAAATGAAAAAGAATATAGTATTTTGACAATTGGATCTACTCCTTGTTCTTTCCTCCTCCTTATTCCCCTCATTTTCTCACCATTTAGTTGTTTGTCTTTAGAGGAAAACATTTAGTTAAAATTTGTAACACTCTTAAATTTCTTCTTATCTAATCATCATGACAAATCCATATGTTTGACTCTAGCACTGCAGATTCAACTACTTCCCATTCTTTCCATTGTGTGCAGACCAGAGAGCGTCTGTGGCCCCTCTATTTGAGGCTCAGCTGGATCTGAAGGTTCCTGACATAGTGTTCACTCCACCTCTGGATTTTGGGGCGGGAGACAGTTTCTTTGAGCTGGTGGAGAGCCTCATCAATGATGTGTTCAGAATCTCCTCGCTGGTGCCACGGCTCGCCCAGCACAGCCCCTTCCCCCACTACCAGGTACTGACTCCATACATCTATAACTTGTATTTTTGTTCATTTTCAACATGCCACGTGTCCAAAAAAACTTGCAAAATGTCCCCTCAGGCTGACATGGAGGACATGGCTGATCTGGCAGACATGCGCAATCTCCTCATGGAACGTGCGCAGGGCGTCATGGCAACGTGCTGTGAGTTTCGCAACTCTCTGGACCGCTACAGCTACCTGTATGTGGACGACAGGAAGGAGTTCATGCGTCAGTTCCTTCTGTACGGTCATGTTCTCAACAGCCAGGAGATGGAGGGTTACACTGAGGACAGCGTCTCAGAGAGCCCGCCAACGCTGGATAACTTTAGAGAGCAAGTGGACGGGTGGGTATCACTCAAGTGGAGCGTGAGAAAATGTTTGTCTCTGGTAATTTTTATTTTTATTTTCAAGGACATATTTTCATTGGGTGAAGTTAAGTTTAGGTCCAGAGCTAACAGCTGAAATATGCATTTAGGTTTGGTTTAGCTTCTGATTACGTGACTGAAATCTGTTTGTGGTCACAATGCAGGTATGAGAAGATCTACGAGGAGGTGCAGGGTCTGGAGCCTGTGCATGTGTTCCACGGGTGGATGAGAGTGGATGGCCGTAGCATGAAGAGTGCCTTGCTCAACATCATCAAAAAGTGGAGCTTCATGTTTAAACAGCACCTCATCGACCATGTAACCAACAGGTGCAATACAAGTTTATACAAGTTTATATAGGGGTTTAGCTGCTACAGCTTTATTTGGTCTGGTATGAGCATTATCTTATTGTGACTAATGTTAGCACACTTTAGATAGACTTTGACTATAATCTGAATGACATGTAAATGGCACATTTGTAGAAGCACATTAGCATTGATACCTTGAGTACACCAATGCCAAATAATAATATATTTATCTGCTGATGAACGCTATTGAATGAGTGGCTAGTCTTCAAGACTGTGGTTTAGTAGATAGTTGATATTAATTAGATATTGTTTGTGTTACACTAAATCTGAGGACACAGATTTAAAAAGTGAATGATCAAAGGCTGAGATGTTCTTACTGTGGGCTCCAAAACAGTAGATCCTACACTTCCCATAATGCATCCTGATAGTCTCTCCATTAGACCTTCCAAACCTGCAGTTTCTGTTAAACATTTGTGTTCCCTGTGCTAGATAGATAACCCTGATGACATGAAGCACAACACAAGACATTATATGTCTGGTCACAGGCTGAGTGGCACTCAACATAACATAATGATAACATAACTGTCCCTTTAATGATTATTACATCTATCCCCAGTCTGTCAGATCTGGAGAAGTTCATCAGTGTGGCCGAGGCTGGCCTGAACCAGCAGGTGGAGGAAGGCGACTATGGTGGCCTGGTGGGGGTCATGGGTCACCTACTGGCTGTTAAGGACAGACAAAGCACCACAGATGCCATGTTTGAGCCCCTGCAACAAACCATCGCTCTGCTGAAGGTCTATGAGCAGGAGCTTCCTGATGTGGTCTACAAACAGTTGGAGGTAATGTTCAGTCACTTGGGATTCTCTTTACCAGCACATATTCTGGTTCTTTCAGCTGAGACAGAGCCATTTCTCTAACTTTTTCTTTGCTTCTTCCGATCGCCCATCTTTGTTCTATGCTCTTCCTCCTGGCAATTCATCATGTGTCACTCCTGCCCGCTTTGCTTTTATCTCCTCCTCTTCATCTCCCTCTCTCTATATCTATCTGTTTATCTATCTGTCTGTGCAGGAGTTGCCAGAGAAGTGGAACAATGTGAGAAAGCAGGCTGTGTTAGTCAAACAGCAGGTGGCGCCTCTGCAGGCCATCGAGGTGACCAGCCTGCGTCGGAAGTGCGCCTCATTCGACGTGGAGCAGCACACCTTCAGAGAACACTTTCGCAACAAGGGGCCCTTCAGGTATAGTAAAGAGTTTGCTTGGAAACACTGTATTTTAACACCCTTATGTATCATTTATAAGCAGTATACAAACACAAAATAAATGGTTTATAACATACTATAGTGTAGTTGTAAGCATATACACTTTAAAGTGTTTACTAATGTAACTGTCAACAGCTATAACTCAACTCTAATATGAAGCATTCTGTAACTGATTACATAATATGTATACAAAGTATAACATGCTGCAATCATTAGCAATTAATGATATATCATTACACTAAAGAACAAATGTAAATTAACATTACATTATAGGTTTGTATAACATTAATGCTGCCTGGATTATGAACACTGGCCTCGTTTTTCCCAGTGAGCAAACTGCTGCATTCTTTAACTGCATGCAACTTGTAGGGAGGTGGTCGGGGTGGGTGGTGGGTGGTACAAAGTATAAGAGTTTGACATCCCAGATGGGGATTTGCATATGGTTGGGTTCAGGCAACAGACACATTTCATAAGAGGAATTATAGTTGTTCACAAACATGAATAAACATTTAAAATGACCCCGTATCTGCTTACAATTACATCATTTTGTATTATAAGAAATGTATCGATTGTTTGTTTATAAGCAGTATAAAGAATGCTAAATAAGTCGAGGTTAAACAAAAGCATTTGATTTGACTGTTTCTGAGTCAGTCAATGAAGGCAACACAATTGGCTGTATAGTGTCCTTTCCCAAGTTCATCAAGTAGCTTTGGAGAGATAAGAATGTCACCTTTCTGCCTTCTCACTTGATATTATAGAAGTGTTATCTCGAGGCTCTCACATCCGACAAGGCTAATTGAATCTTAACATAATGATAATTAATTCATAGGTAGAGATGCTTCGTCATAATGTCTAATTGTCAGATTAGTTATGTGTGTAATTGGTCTCTTAATAACCTGGTGATTATTTTCCCATTAATGTCATGGAAGTCATTGTTAATTGTCACAGTGTGCATTTAGTGCTGGAGACTCTGGTCTGGTTACGCTGCAGCCAAGTCAGGCTTGGCATAACTGCAGCCCTTCATTACCTAAACACAGCCTGATTTCTACTGGGCTTGTTCAAATGTGTATGTGTTTTCGATGGGTGTCTATGTGGGCTCATGCATTCGTTCAGGTTTGACAGCGAGAGCCCCTACCAGATGTTGGACGCATTCCATCAGCAGATCCAGGAGCGGGAGGCAGTGATGGCCTCCCTGGTGGAATCCGCCAGCCTGTTCGAGGTCACCGTCTCTGAGTACAAACAGCTCCGACAATGCAGGTAAAGCCCAGAGCTGGAAGGAGAAAATACCACAAGCCTGTGCCAACTTCGGAACTAATGAGCCGTTATAGCAGCTCGCTCTTTTACATTCACAGTCCGTATCTGAAGAGCTCCACTTTTCATGCCAGTTTAATTCACCTTGTCCACTCTCCTCCATCCTCGAGGCGTGAGGTGGGCCTGCTGAAGGAGCTGTGGGACATGATCACCGTGGTGGAATCCAGCATGGCGGCATGGAGGACGACTCCCTGGAGAGAGATCCATGTGGAGGACATGGAGCTGGAGTGCAAACGCTTCTCTAAAGATATTCGGGGGCTGGATAAAGAGGTGAGGGAAGAGAGCGGGGAAGGATAGCAGGATCTTTAATATAGCTAAGCTTGAAAAGTGTTGGAGGTTAAAAAAAGGTGGGTAAGGAAAATGAATCTTGAAAAAACATGAATAAGTAATTTCCACCTACAATTGACCGTTTGCTAACCCCCTCCAATGAAGTGATTATCCCATCATAGCCTTAGCAAGTGTAACTAGACACAGCAGGCCTGCCATGCTGTGGATTCCTCTCTATGTTTAAGCGGTGTGCAGTGGGCTGTAGTGAGAGAGGTAATCTGAATTTAAGGAGTTGAGATGTGGTGTCTTTTTTTAGACTTTTCAAAACCAATAAAGGAGCAAATGTGTAAGGAATAGATTAAACGGTATGTTTTTCTGTTGTTGCTCTAACGTAACCTGTAGCTGTTAGCATGGTTATCACTACCTACAGTAGACTGACTAACTACAATGGTTGGTGGGGTCAGAGGTTACTTTAAAGAAAAAACCCATTTCAGAAGTTAGTGTAGAAACTGGTCTTGGCTGCTGTTAGAGTTTAAGCTAACGTTAACAGCTTTGTTCTATTTGTTTTACACTCCAGCAACCCCAGCTACATTATATATTATATATATTAGTTATTTCATTGCTGTTTGCTCAGTAACTTCTCATCCTAGAATCCTTTTTTCATAACGTTGGAACGTGGAAAAAACGGAATACTATGGAAGCTAAGCAGCCAAACAGGGCCTTATCATACTTCTAAATAACTAGCAACTAACTGAAAAACAAGATCAATGCTGTTTGATAATTGAATGCGGGGTTGCTAACTTTTTCCCAGAGACATGCAACTTGAACCTCAGGTTGTTAACATGATATGTATCTAGCCATGAGGTGCATATTTAGTAAGAACTCTTTAATTATTCTTAAACAAGTCAGCTGGATCCATTAAAAACCCACTCATGGAGCCAACATTGTCATGATAGCTAGCTAGCTAAATAGCAACAGTTGTAATCAGAAACTGCTTTTGCCCATTCTTTCTGAAATGAAGGGACTGTTTCAAAAAATCGGAATAATTTCAAGCAGTAAATCTGTCCCCATTATCCCTGTAAACTGCATTGTGCAAGAACAAAAGGCGTATCAGGCATAGCAACAGTCAACAAGGGGGCCGGGGCTTGGCGAACAGTCAACTGGGAGTTACTAAAAGTGTGTTGCTTAAAGTCAAGGAGGTAGTTTGAGTGTTGGAAAAGGAGAGCAATAACTACCATCTGTCTTTACTATTAACTGCAGCTGGGAGTTGCAGGCCCTTGAGCAAGGCTAAATGTGTGTAAATGCATGAATGTCAACTTCACTGGAATAAATCAAACTAAAATGAAATCCTGACCTGCAGCTGTAAGCTCCCTCAGCCTCTGTTAAAAGCTGATTCCTGGCCATTGTCACTGATAGGTCAGAGCGTGGGAGGCCTTCTCAGGTTTGGACAGCAGGGTGAAGAACCTCCTCATCTCCCTCCGGGCCGTGGCAGAGCTCCAAAACCCAGCGATACGAGCCCGACACTGGCATGAGCTGATGGCTGCTACTGGAGTCCGCTTCACCATGGACCAGGTTTCCATTTTGTTCTAGAGATATAGATGATATAGTTCTGTTCATGGCTTTGGGTCAATGTGTCCATAATTATGAATTTGAATTTACAAGCTGTACATTTGCTGAAATGTTTTTTTTATTAATATCTGCCAATGATTTAAGAGAGTTTTTGAAGAGGAGACACACAGGGAAGTTTTCTCCAATTATTTTCTCATTTTAGTTCCCAACTCCATCTGCATCCTCACTGGGCTTAATTATTCTGTTTGTAATGCTGCAGCGCTTTCGTTTGTACAAAAATGTATTACAGAGACTAAATTGGACTTGAACTGTGCTACAATGTATTCACACTGATACATATAAAGCAGGTTGCAGCACAGTAGGGAGCTGTTTAATCACGAGTTTTATACATGGTAACCAGCGCCACCTATAGGAAAGGAAAGTAAGAGCAGCAGACCTACAGGTAAAGACAGTTTCTGACCTAAATCCCTTTTGATATTGGTCACCTCTATTTTTTATCTTTATTCTCTTGCAATGAGATTGGGCTGGTTTCCGAGGATTTATATACATTGTTGGGCTGAAGGTTTCAGTTGTGTACTCAGTTCTTCAGTTGCCTTAAATTGTACTTAGATTATTCTTACAACAGGCATTCCTTGAATATGCCCTACTGATAAAAAAGATGAGCATAATCTTTTGACACATATATTACATCTTCATGTAACTTTTCGTAGCAGTAGCATTTTTCACGTCATAATCGTACACTGAACTGTATTTACTCAGCTGTAGCTAAATTCTTTCAACCAGCTGTTGTCTGGTTTATCTTGGGTGTTGTCTGCCCTCCATTTTACTATTTGATGTGACAATACTGTGTAGGAGAGGATTGCATTGGGATTGGGATCCCACGGGACCCAATACAAAGCTCACTGATGGTTTTTGACTTTGCAGTGAGTGGGAGCAGTCAAAAAATAAACCAAGATTTAGCTAGTGCCAACCAGATGGATGGAGATGGAGTCAACAGATGAAGTTGAAAAGAAAGTTAAAGCAGGTTTTTACAAAACAAAAGCAAGAAACAAGGCCAGTCTGACATTTGGAGGAAAAAGTTACATTACAGTAAAACAATGTCTCTTCACAGGAGGAGACAAAAGATGTCTATTGTGTGGGCACGAATGGTCAGGAATCCAGCAGGGGGTTACTACGTAAACTAGTGGTTCTCAAACTTTTTTCAATAGTGTACTCCCTTTGAAATATTTCTTCAGCTAAGTACCCCCTGACCTGTGCAAAACATTTTTGGTTGGAAAAGAAGTACCAAAAAGGTACAATGGAGCACTCTTAAACGATCTTGTAACTGAAAAACTTCAGTGCTACATTTCAGATGTATAGAATCCATCACTTAATTCCTGGCAAACCAGTTGTTTTAGCATCATTCAACAACACGGCATTGAAGTGGCTGGTGTCTTTTTGTTTCACTTACAGTTTACTGAGAAACATGGGCTTTTGCTTCACTGGGGATCTTTGTCATTCTCTGTGGCAGACAGGCAGCTGCAGTGATCAAACTGTTTTCCAGGAACAGTCTGTTACTTTGCTGCTGTTGCCATTTTCACTTTATTTTTCACTTCTTCCCTCATGTTTTCAACTGTATTGTTGCTACGTTTGAACCACTAATCCATTTGTCATTTAATACCAAATCTGGCTTCCCGCTCACAGTGAACAAACAACATTGTGAAAGTTTGTTGCTTTCTTCTTCTCACTGCTTACTCCTTCCTCTGTAAAGTTTTATAGCATTTGCCAGTTGAAAAATCGTCACAAATATACTTCATACAACAGGCAGGCCGAACCTTCAGCCATGGTGAGAATTAGGATTTGGGATTTTCTTGTCCCCTTGATAAAAAAAATCAGGAAATCAATATAGGACTGTATGCTGGCAGTCAAGCTATGTGAGGATATACATGATAATGGCAATTCAATAGTTTTTTATCGGAAAATGCAATATCATATATCTTCCCATCCCTAGTTGACAGTTTACACTGTCAACTTAAAAACGGGAATATTGAAAATAAAATGGGGTTCATCAAACTTATATTGAAGTTTGCAATAGTATAATTATTTTAGGAATTATGCATGGAAAAATTAACATTTTCAAAAAAAAGTATCCCTAGAGATATGCATACCCCTATTTGAGAAACACAGTAGACCACACACACAGGCCTGGAGTCAATTCATTGTTAATTACTACCTATTAAATAAATGGAATTTAAATTACAACATTGGTCAGAAAAATGGAAATTAAACATTTTCCCTAAAAAACTGCAAGTTAGATGGACAGCAGGTGTGAGCCCTCTGTGATTATAATGGCTAGTTTCTACTGCTTCACATTAATGACACTGTGTGTCCTTGTTATACTGAAACCAGTTGTCACAGCCAGCACTCAGCAGTAATGTGTTACTAATATTATCATATTATATAATGTAGCTTATATGCATTGTGGGTAAAGTACTAATGGGGCTTTCTGTGAGCAGGAGACCACTCTGGCTGACCTGCTGCAGCTGAACCTGCACTGCTTTGAAGAGGAGGTGAGAGGGATCGTGGACAAGGCTGTTAAAGAGATGGGCATGGAGAAAGTCCTCTCTGAGCTCAACTCCACATGGACAGGTATCTGAGGGGGGGGCTTTGTAACCACAGTCTTCTTTAGTCTGCGGTAGCACTCTGGCTCTCTTTCAACATGAGTGTTTCTCACCCTGCCACCCAGAGTTTATGACCAATTGACAGAGCGTATTGATCCCGTCCAGGTATGCAGTTCCAGTATGAGCCCCACCACCGGACCCAGGTGCCTCTGCTGCGCACAGACGAGGAGCTGATTGAGACGCTGGAAGACAACCAGGTACAGCTGCAGAACCTCATGTCGTCCAAGTACATCGCCCACTTCCTGGATGAAGTGTCGTCATGGCAGAGCAAGCTGTCCGTGGCCGACTCTGTCATCTCCATCTGGTTCGAGGTGCAGCGGGCGTGGACCCACCTGGAAAGTATCTTTATTGGCTCAGAAGACATCCGCTCACAGCTGCCTGAGGTGACACACTGATCGCTTACACACACAGTTAATTACAGCTCTATAGGTGTACATTGCTGACGAGCTCATATGCATGCAGGCCCTAACCTGCGCCCTTGCTGTTGCCATATGAACCCAGATAGCATGACTGTAATGGCTGTTAATTAAAGAATGCATTAATTGGCTCACAGTGCTAGTTAAGGAGCTGAGATTACGCGACTTTTTAATTGCTCCCACAATGTTCGGGCTGTGTTTAAACCCAGATGTTTGCTGTTAAATCTCCTATTCTCCCCCCCCCCCCCCCCTCTTTTGGAAACCTAAATCCCCTGGCCGGGCTCCCTCGTGAAATCCTCCGCAGGACTCCAGGCGCTTCGAGGGGATTGATGCCGATTTCAAAGAGCTGGCAAACGCCGTGCATCAAACGCCCAACGTAGTGGAGGCCACCAATAAACCGGGTCTGTTTGGTAAACTGGAGGACATCCAGAGCAGGTGAGAGTCTCTTTTTCTACTCCTTATGTCTGTTACCAGGGGCACTCTCATACAGGGTTTTAGATACGCACACACACTGACTGTGTATTTCTCCACAGGCTGTCTCTGTGTGAAAAAGCCCTGACAGAATACCTGGACACCAAGCGTCTGGCCTTTCCGAGATTTTACTTCATCTCTTCGGCTGATCTGCTGGACATCCTGTCTAATGGGACCAACCCGCACCAGGTTGCTCCACTAAAATTTACCTGAGGGGGTAGTAGTGAATTTTATGTTTCAGTCTGTTCAGAGTCAGAAAGAAATCACCATGCATTTCCAAGCATGTCCGACAAGCTGATTTCTTAACAGTTCTCTAAAACCATCTTCGATTGCACCATTTAACTCTTGTGCTGTTGACTTTTGTAGTACCCACAGTGTCCACACAGGGGCAATGTCGCTCATAGTTTTGCAGCCTGCTCCAACCTCCATCATCAGGACACTATCTCATGCATTTCCACCTTGGAGAAATAAATCACTGTTAAGCACAACTTGCCACTAAATCTCTCTAAGAGGAAGTTAACAGCCATGCTGCAAAACATGGGTTCCTGCCCCTCGGATAAATGATTCTGAAAAACAGTAATAAAACGTTATTTATTTGCATGGCGGCAAAGAAAATACCGGTCCAACCGTGGGTGTTAACTGAATGTGTCTGTTTGTTTGCTCAGGTCCAGAAGCATCTGTCTAAGCTCTTTGACAATATGGCTAAGATGCAATTTGAGGCAGACGGAGAGGGGAATCCTTCTAAAACTGGTCTGGGCATGTACAGCAAAGAGGAGGAGTATGTCCCCTTTAATCAGTCCTGTGACTGCACTGGACAGGTAAAACACACCCGTAATCTTTTATTCATGCCTCTAAAACTGTGCTGCTATAACTTCTGTAGGTTGAGCTAAATATTAAAGGCATTTATTATCTTCATTAGAGTTAGTGCTGACAGTGGCACTGCGGCTGTCTGTAGAGGGTTAGGGTGATAGTGATAGATGAGGAAATTCACTTACCTGCCCTTTTCTACAATGGAGGAAAATATATATCAAATATAGATATCACAACCCCACAATAAAGGAGACAAACGAAATTGAGTCTGTCGTCACCCCTGGGGTTTTGCATATCAAAGCCTATAAATCCATTAATTTTCCATTACATCCCATAGTATTTGCCTGACTCCACTTTCACTCTAATGCTTATTAATGACCTCATTAGGGTCCATTGATAAGAGAGCCCGTTGGTGCTCACGTGACACACATGGCAATGTTTTTTTACTTTATATTCATGGGGCCTGTCTTTGATTTTTGTGTTTTCTTTTCCATGTAAGGTGGAGGTGTGGTTGAACCGGGTTCTGGACACCATGCGCTCCACGGTCCGTCATGAGATGACCGAGGCGGTGATGGCGTATGAGGACAAACCCAGAGAGCAGTGGCTGTTTGACTATCCAGCTCAGGTAAACAGGCTCAGCGGGATGTATGTATAGATGTAACAAGCAGCACTCACTTTGGGGATTTTCCCCATTAGTCACCTTATCCAATATCAGATGGATTGGCACCATAATCATGTCTGTGCCTCTCATAGATGTTTCAGCCCAGTGCAAACTCTCATTAATGCTTTACATACACAGTTTGCAGCCAGATTCTGTTGAGTATTTTGAACAGAGAGAAAGAGTGTGGCAGGAAGTGAGAACAAATACGGCTGCGTGTCTGTGATAATGAAACACTTGTACCTACCTGGAAATGCTAATGATTTTCTGAAAGTAAGCTTTTGAATCTGTGCCTTAACACACTGTTTTAGGACTTTAGACCAGTGGTTCCTAACCTTTTTCCTTGAGGGAGCCTTTTTCTGTCATTGAGTAAACTGACTCGGTGACATATTTTATGGATATTTTTTAAATTTTTTTTTCTTAAATAATCAGTGACAGTTGCACTGGAACAAAAACTGAACATTTGGCCAAATAACGTGACTCAAGGTGCCATAATCCAACCTTCTTGTTTAACGAATGTTCCCTCCTTGTTAATTTGCAATCATCAACCCTAAATTCACATGAGGAAATGAGGGAAAGGAGACAACTTCGCACCAAATGAACATGAAAACTGTGACTCAGCCCCCTGGCTGCGTTCTGGCTTGATAACAACAGCGCCTTCAAGTAAATTCTGGCTCCTGAAAGGTGTGGGTTCCAT